AAAAAAAAAAAAAAAAAAAAAAAAATGCAGGTTATAACAATTTATTTCCAGATTGATCACAAATAAATAACAGGACAAGCACACAAATACAAACATTACAGTGTTATTTACAATAAAGAAAAATACTAAATGTCCAATATGTATCTAGTTAAATAAACTGCAGCACAACTTGCTGTTTCAGTAAAGCAGGCTGTATTATTCAGGCCAACCTCTTAGAGAAAACAAAACAAAACACTGATACATTTTTAAAAACATCTTTACAACACGGAAAGTTAATATACAAAGTCAGGCCCTCATAAAGTGGGATATCTCACAAGAGACCTTCCCGCTCAAATGATGTAGGATATCAGGGAATCTCAAGCCTTAAACTTGTCTTAAGGTGGTATCTGATTAAAATGCCCAGGCACCTCGCAAAAGCAAACTCAAATCCTCTCTGGAGGAGCCTTCACACTATGCCTCAAAGTATTCCTACAAATAAATTTTCAAATACAATGTCAAGCACACTATTTTATAACAAGGTGTATAATAAAACTATACTTTATGAACAAAAACAATAGAGAACTCACAAAGTATACAGATAACTATGCTACCATGTGTACAGAAATAAAAGACAAGCAAAATCTATATGAAGTAGAAACTATAAAAAGTGATTTTTATTTATTTATTTATTTTTTAAAGAAAAAGGCTGGGCATGGTGGCTCACATCTGTAATCCCAGCACTTCTGGAGGCCAAGGTGGGAGTATCACTTGAGTCCAGAAGTTTGAGACCAGACTGGGCAACACAGTGAGACTCCATCTCTACAAAAAAAATTTTTTAATTAGCTGGATGTGGCAGTGCACACTTGTAATCTCAGCTACTAGGGAGGCTGAGATGGGAGAACTGTTTGAGCCCAGGAGTTAAGGGCTGCAGTAAGCTATGATCACATTACTGCAGTCCAGTCTGGGTGGTACAGAGAAAAAGAAAAGAAAGATGAAAGAAGAAAGAAGGAAGAAGGAAGAAGGAAGGAGGGAAGGAGGGAAGGAGGGA